GGATGGATGGTTGGATGGATGCATGGATGGTTGGATGGATGCATGGATGGATGAATGAATGAATGAATGGATGGATGGATGGATGGATGGTTGGATGGATGGTTGGATGGATGGATGCATGGATGGATGGATGGATGGATGGATGCATGGATGGATGGATGGATGGATGGATGGTGCTGCGCCGCTCAGGCGAAGTGAAGCTGTTCTGACCATTAAATAAATGCACAATAAAAGCAACAGGTCAGAGGTGACGCAGAATAAATGCGACTTGTGCTTTTTCCTCTTCATGATGCTTTTTTTGAACGAGTCCCCGAGGCTCAATGGGATTAACCTGTTTGAATAAAGGTTGAATGAATGAATGAATACTCCGGAGCGACTTATACACTTGAAACTACGGTAGTCGTACTAAGTAAGTGATTTGTGTTGTCATCATTGTATGTTCCCAAACAACGATGAAGAGTTCTCTGCATTGAACGCATCACACCTGAGACACACGCAGGTGGAGCAGTGGGCAGCTGTGTAAGCGCTCGGGGAGCAGTCAGGGATTGGACGCCTTACAGGTACGGATTAGGTGTCTTCTACAATGTGCATCTACAACTAATTTGTTTATGAAGTCAACCCATTTCAAGATGGCCTCCACCACTAACTGAACTAAAAAAACAAAATGGCTCCAACTCCATCAGTTTTTTAGGTAATGAGTAAAAATTGGGTGAAACAGCTTAAAGTCACATCCAACACTCAGAGCACCACCAGATGGCAACATCTGTAATGTTACATAGATCGCACATAATTTTACTTGTAATATTTGATCAAAGTATGTATAACTCATTTCTCAACTTAAGATGATTTATTTTGAGGCCCTATTTACACAAAACAGTTTTAAAGCAAAAATAACTCGTAGCATTCCCGCTGCGTTTCGGCTGTTTGTGTGCACAACAGCAGCAATGGTTTTCTCTGATGTTCTGGTTTTTGGAAATGTCCAATACGTAGTTGTGTGTGAACAGGATTCACCTTCCTGTTTTAATGGTTTGTTTTATTTTGTAACATGGTTTTATTTTGTAACATGGTTTTATTTTGTAATATAACCACTTCTGGATAGTTGGTGCCATTTTGAATCAAAACATTCAGCTCAGTCAGGACGTGGGTGCTGATTCTCCGTTTTTGTAACTTTTCTACTTTTCAAAACATTTAACTTTATTTACAAGTATTTTCTCTACAGAAGTACATTACCTACAAAATTCCTTCAAAATATTGTTTCCTTTGAATTCTTCTTTTACCTGCTCTGTTTTCTTATGCTACTTCTAAGTTTTAGCTATTTTGCTTTGTTTAGTAAGCCTTTAGCTAGTTTTAGCTGTTTTTTATGCTTTTAACTTATGCTAGTCTTTAGCTATTTTTAGCTTCTAGCTAGCATTTTGACTAGGGCTGAACAATTAATTACATTTGCAATAATATCGCGATACGATAAAACGAGATTTTCTAATCGCAAAGGCTGCAATTTATTGTTGGCGTGTCGTTTTAAATGCAATTAGTGCTTAGCGTATTTTTAGTTGATGTTTTTCTTTGTTCATATCTTAGATGTTTTTACAGTTTTTCTTTTACATTTTATTGTGGGACATAACTGGGACCCTGTGTACACAATCTCATTCCACCACATGTACCACATGGGGTGCGAATGACAATAAAGAAACTCTGACTCTGTGGTCACATGATCTGGTTACATCATTTGTGAGTGGGCGGAGCAAAGCAGAGCAGGGAGCGAGAGAAGTCGACGCTGCGCTTTAACCGGTTGCACAATGGCGTCAGGCTCGACAGAGGCTGATGCATCTGAAAGTTTGGTACCAAAGAGCAGCAGCACGACCGTCGTTTGGAATTATTTTGGCTATTAAAAAAAAGACGCTGTGCAACAACATGTGTTGTGCAGAACCTGCCTTGCTGCTGTTGCTACCTCTTGAGGCAACCACACAAACGTTATCAACGCACAAAAAAAAAAAAACGCCACGAAGCAATTTACGATAGTTGCACGGCTAGAATGTCAACGACCAGTGCTTCAACTTCAAGTAGGCAAAGTAGCAGCCGACAGGATCACTGACCGAACTGTTCGAAGGAATTACTCCGTATGAACTTTATTCGAAACGGCACACAGAAATAACTCGAGCAGTAACGGAGTTCGTAGCGAAAGACATGACGTCCATTAATAGTGACCAAGTTTAGGGCTTTGGTAAACACGGTGGATAAGCGGTACAGGATGCCCCTGCACACACATTTTAGCCAAGTTGCTATCTGGGAGCTCTAGAAAAAAATGCAGAAAGAGCTGCAGCGGCGCTGAAAACAACTGGAACATATTGATTTATTGATTGTGTTCGTTGAAAAAATACACAAGACATTGAAAAATAATCGCATATTAAATCGCAATATTAAGAAAAAAAAATAAATCGCAATTGGAATATTTTCCAAAATCGTTCAGCCCTAATTTTGACACATGTAGCTTGCATTGCTACTTTTAGCTAGTGTTTTACTACTTTGCTATTGTAGCAGTGTTCTGGCTATTTTAGCTTTCGCCTAGTGTTCGGCTTCTTTTTGCTCGATCAATGAAGTTTTAGCTTCTTCAACAAAATTCAGCAAACTGATTCAGCATACACACTGCATCTTCCACAAAATGGAAATGCTCTAATTTAAGTTTTTTTTTTTTTTACATTTTCACAACTGGGTTTAGTAATAATGAAGAAAAGCTCCACAACAAATCAAATGCGTCTCCTTTTTCAGCAGTGTGGTAAAGATGGAGCGACTGGTTTAACTGTCCGTGCTTATACCCCTGATGCACATCGGTGAAGTGGATGAAACATAATGTTCCTGTTATCCAATATGAATAATGGCGTGTGGTAAATGTGAGTGCATTTTCCGCCTTGAAGCCAGAAAAAGAGACCTCCAGCATTTTTCTGTGTGGACAAACAGGGTCATTAAGATGAAGACCTGGCTACAAGTGAAGCATTCTTTCAAGCTGACCACAAAATGGAGCTGTAGCGATGCTGCAAAAAGGCCAGAAACATTTCTGAGTATGAATATCATGGTGACAGCAAATGCTCTCATCACAACCAAACATGTGGCTGAAATGTTTTATGGATAGTGGCTTGTGGTTGATGATTTTTTTATGCATGGGATTAAAAAAAAATGTCTAATTGCAGCAGGATATAAATCAATTAAATAAAGCTAAACACAGATAAACAGAGGGTCTGTTATAAAAAGCTGCATGCTGCTAACCCTGTTAAACTGCGACCAGGTCATTGTCATGCTGCGGTAGTCATCAGGATTGTTGCTGGAGCTGCTGAACGCTTTTTGAGCCAAGAAGACCAGGTTCTCCTCAGACAGGCCTCGGTTGCTCTGCACCTCTGCCTTGTACTTCATGTTGATGGCTTCACACAGCTGAGGCCAAAGTACTTTATCTGGCACCAGGAAAGGCACTCGACCCTGCAGATCCAGAAGAGACAGCTGAGGGTTTACATGAGCTATGCTGAAGGGACTAAAAAAAGGAGCAAAATGCACGACATTGTTCTGGATAGAACATGAACCCATTTACACATGCACACTGAACAAGAATACAAACGCAACACTCTGAAATGTGCAGTTTACTTTTACTGTATTGGGGGCGGGGTGTCAGAAAGCCAGTCAGTATCTGGTGCGAGCACCCTTCGCCTCACGCAGCGCCACACGTCACTTCACACAGGGGTGATCAGGTTGTTGACTGTGGCCTGTGGAACGTTGCTCCACTCCTCATCAATGGCTGAACGAAGCTGCTGGATGTGATCAGGAACTGGAACACGCCGTCGTTTAGTCATCCCTCGTCATGTTGAGGTTCGTTTATCGCGGGTTTAAGAGAGTGGGAAAGGTCTGTAGGAGCGTGGGAAGGGTTTATAAAGCCTTAATGTATATACATATAAATAATAAAATAAATATAAAGCTGCTACTTTGCAGATTTTCACCTATGGTGGGGCTCTGTGGAACATAATCTCTGCGATAGGTGAGGGATTACTGCACGCCGATCCAGAGCATCTCAAACACCCTCAATGGGTGACCTGTCCGGTGAGTGCGCTGGCCATGCAAGAACCGGGATGTTTTCAGCTTCCAGGAATTGTGTACAGATCCTTACAACATGAGGGCCGTGCTTTACCTGCTGCAACATGAGGTGATGGTCGTGGATGAACGGCACAACAACGGGTCTCAGGACCTCATCACGGTATCCCGGTTCATTCAAAATGCACCTGCGTCCATAACGTACGTCTGCCGTACCATGACCCCACCACCACCATGGGCTGCTTGATTCACAACAGTAACATCAGCAAACTGCTCACGCACACATCGCCATGCACGCAGTCTGCCGAGACCCCGGTGAGGATGACGAGCACGCGAACGAGTTTCCCTGAGACGGTTTCTGACGGTTTGTGCAGAAATTCTTTGGTCGTGCAAACCGAAGCTGCAGCGGCTGTCTGGGTGGCTGGACTCAGACCATCTTGGAGGTGAAGATGTTGGATGTGAAGGTCCTGGGTTGGTGTGTGGGTTTTTTTTCATTTTCATTTACCCTTTATTTATCCATGTAGTCCCAATGAGTCACGAGAACTCATTTTCAAGAGAAACCTGTTTAGGAGCAGATGGTGGGGGTTAAGGGCCTTGCTCAGGGGCCCAGAGTGGGGAGAAGGAGGGTGGAGGCAGGTGTGGGTGTTTCACCTTTTCCACCCACATTTTCATGTTGACGGTACCGGGAGTTGAACCTGCGACTTTCCGATTTCTGGTTACACGTGGTCTGTGGTTGTGAGGCCGGTTGGAAGTACTGCCGAATTCTCTGAAACGCCTTTGGAGACGGTTGATAGAGAAATGAGCAGGAAACAGCTCTGGTGGACGTTCCTGCAGGTCAGCATGCCAATTAAAACTGCACATTTTAGAGTGGCCTTTTATTGTGGTCATCCTAAGGCGCACCTGCTCAATAATCATGCTGTCTTGTCCTGCCTTCACCTGTGAGGTGGATGGATTATCTTCTCAGCAAAGGAGAAGTCCTCACTAACAGATTCACACACGTTTGTGAACAATATTTGGAAAATAAATAAAGAGTTTTTGTGAACACAGAAAAAGTTTCATGTCTTTGAGTTCAGTTCATGAAAAATGGAAGCAAAAACAAAAGTGCTGCGTTTATATTTTTGTCCCGAGGACAAACGCAGCTGCTTTCACAGACGGTACGTTGAATTGTTTAAAGAGTTAAACATGTGTTTTAATTAAACGTATATCTGTTTTATTCTATATGCTTAATCATTTTAAAGTATACTCACTGCATAAATAAAAATAAAACAGATTCTTCACTGAAATACAAAAACTTAATTGCACTTCTTATAAAGTTATTTAGTTACACAGTTCATATAATTCATTTTACAACAAAAACTAAACCACTTATTGCATTTACTTCCATTTGATTAAATTATCCAGTTACCATTTTTTTTTAATAATTTGCATTACTAACGTAGGTGTTTGTTGAATTTATAAACCTGTTCATTATTTTGTGTTTGAAATTGTCAAAAGCTCGTATGATGATGCGTCTGTGTAGAGGATTATGACGAAGCTAAAAGCCTGAATGAAAAGGTTTTCTTAGATATTGAAACAAAGATTTTTTGGGTCTAAAAGCCCATAAAACTTTGACGTGCACAAACATTTACTTACTGCCTCTGCAAAAGCATTGTCCCACAATACAGTCGCTGTGGCATTATTGTCTTGGCTACCGTGAACTATCACCACAACAGGAAGTGATAACGTCTGTTCAGAAGAAGAAGAAGGCCATTAGATCAGTGAAAACATCTGTAAATGTAAATGATGCAACACATTGCTCATCACCTTTTCATAGATCTATTGTAAAGATAAATTATTTTAGGCACATCACAAAAACAGCACTAATGGAGTGCAGTCACAGTAAGTGTTGTAGCGAAGGTTTGAGCCTTTTTGAGAATAAAAAATGAACATTATCTCTGCGTATGAACTCCAATGTGACTTCATTGTGTTTTTATATTATTATCATCTAGATAAGCTCTTACCTTAACTTGAAAGACAAGCTCGTTGCTCCCGACACTAAACTGGGACTCAAACAGAATGGTGAACTTCTCTTCTGTGACCGACTCTGCTCCTCGTCTGTCCGACCGCTTGATCCTTTTTAAAGACTATAAAAGGACAGAGGGAGTGTAAGAATGTACCTGTACATGCTATAGAGCTCAACTATGCACATGCAATGACGCTCTGAGTGAGCCTGGCACCTAAATAACCCATGAGGGGCTCTGAAAGGACTGCTGCCAACATGTGTAATGTGCAGGCAGGGGGTGGGGGGAGCAGTTCACAAGTTTAAATAAAAGAAGCTCAAACTACAGTGGATGGTTCCATGTCACTTTACAATGATGATCATTAACAGTGACTTTGTTCTATATTAAACTATCTGCCCCAAGGATAACCCACAGTTACGAAGACTTCTAATGAATGTGGACAAACGTATTGAACCCGTTAGCACTCTGTGCAGCTGCCAGGAAAAAGACAAAGAGGAGGTTCATGGATGCAGTTAGAGAGGACATGGAGGGAGTTGGAGTGAGGACGGAGGACGCAGAGGACAGAGACGGAGGAGGACGACTCGCTGTGGCGACGCCGAAGACGGAAAAGCCGAAAGAAGAAGAAGAAGAATGGTAAATGTACTTGTAGCACCTTTCTATTTGATCAAGATACTCAAAGCACTTTACATCAATCTGTGCCTCATTTACCTCCACACATTCATGCAGCTCTATACTAGATCTCTTCAAGGCTAATTTGATCTGTAGAGACTAATCAGAGCTTTAGATCACATTCGTACACCGATGGGACACACATCAAAGACAATGAGGGGTTCAGTGTCTTTCCGAGGGACACGTCAACATGTGACTGCTGGTGGAATTGAACCCCCAACTCTCCCATTGGAGGACGACTGTTCTAACCACTCAGCCACAGCCGCCCAAAGACTCTAGTCACAACATTCTGGAGAATGTGAGCAGCAGCTAAACTGGAATTACAACTACCACCAGAGTTCATGCTCAATAATCCAGGTATAAAATCCAACAATGTTCAGTCAGGTCATCTGGATGGTGTCTTTTCTAGTGCTGAGACGTTTCACCCTCCATCCGAAGTGCTTCATCAAGAGCTTCACTGAGCATGGGCTTTGTGTTTTGAACCAGTCCGACATGACTGTTGATGACGGACATTATTCAACAGTGTGACGTGTAAAGCCTTTTGCGTATCCTGATATGATAGAAAGACGCTAAATAAGTACAGTCCACTTTACCATTTACAGTAGTCCCTCGTTTATCGCACGGGGATCCGTACCCTGAAGACCCGCAATAAGTGAAAAAACACCAAGTAGGAATAGTAGTACAAGTAGTAAGTAGTAGTTTATTTTAGTATTTATATAAAGGTATACAAGTATGAAGGTGTTTTAAACCCTTCCCACACTCTTGCAATATTCTAAACAATGTTTCTAAACTCTAAATTCTCTAAAAGAGACAGAACGTCATGATTTCAGTTCTCTGCCTCCTCTGTGCTCAACCACCTGCAAGCGCTCCTGGCCACGCCCACTTCTCTGTATTGCATGGAGATCAGCTGATCAGCTGCAGCAGGAAGTTTATCCTGCAGTGTAGGCTGCACAAAGGTGCAGCAGGTGCTAAATAATTTAAAATCCTTTATTTCAAATAAAAATTCCATGTCGATCATGCGGCTCATCCATCTATCAGCCACTGTGTGGCATGTCCATCTTATTTTGAAAAACCGCGATCGAGCGAGTCTGAGATAAACGAACCGCGAAGTAGCGAGGCACTACTGTAAGATTTTTTAAAGTAACGGGTGGTCGGTGTTTTCTGTGACTTCATCCTAAAATTCGTCATTTCACAAAAAGAAGTTTACACTCATTAAAATAAACAGTTTCTTTTTAGAAAAAACTAGAGGGTGGCAAACACTTTTATCACTTAAGCATGAACCAATAATTACATTCATTTTGGTTAACGATTTACATATAAAGAGAAAAATATAGGCGAAAGGCATACGCAGATTAATCCCTTCTTATAAATTCACACCGACTTTCGGACCACTTTCAGTGTGTAATATATTGATTCCATCAGCATGAAATATTTTTTTCATTTAGACCCTAAATGCCACTTACCATGTTCCTGAAGTGGGCGCTGAGAGTGCCTGTGGTCTGATGGTACTCCATCACACAGTTATTGTTAAGAATTTCTCCACTGCTCTCACTGAGAAAGAAAGACAATTAAGCAGAGAGTCAATTAGCTCTTCACTCTTATGTGATGGGCTTAAGTGCAGTGAATTAGATTCTTTACAATCTTCCAGCCCTGCAGGTTCTAAGAAGACACTTTTCCTGTAGAACTGAAATGTGCTACCATCACCCTCTTCATCTTCTCTTGAGCAGAAATGACTGTTGTTTACTGTAGATGACAGACGGCGGATCATGACGGACCTGTTCGTTTTTTTTCTTACAAGCTGCCTAGCTGACCTCGAGACGGTTCGGGAGGTTTCAATAAGTTGAGACGAATGTGGAGCCAGGCCGAGAAACTGGCTGGAAATGGACTCTGGATCCATAGACTCCTCTGAGACGACGGTCAAGTTGTGTGAATGTTCATGAAGCGTTCACACTATTGTGATCCATTTTTCTAACGTACGATTTTCAGCGTCTTTCTTGTTCCACAGTTTTTGTTCCGTTTCAACAAGTCGAATATCAAAAAGTGCAGCTCGTGCAGGAGAAGGGTCTTACTACTTTTGGGTTTGGTGAAACTTTAGCTTTTTGAAATATTTAGCCTTTTCTGCCACTTTTTTCCCTCATAGAAAATGATTTGAGCTCATTTTCCATCCTTCAAATCTTTAGCTCTGTTTACAACCTTTTACTGCTCCTTTCATATTTTGTTCTGCTTCAGCTTCTTTCAGCTTCCTTTTGCAAATTTAAACTTTTTCAGTTATTTTCAACTGTTTTTTCAGCTGCTTTTGTTTAGATTCTTTCTGCTAACTACAACATTTTTGTGCTTCGTCTAACTTCTTTCTGCTAATTTCAGCTTGTTGTGCTCCTTTCAGCTTATTTATGCAAGTTTCAGATTTTTCTGCTATTTCAGCTACTATTTACCGTTAGCTATTTTTATGCTAATTTTAGCTTTTTCAGCTAATTCCACATGTTTTGTACTCATTTAAACTTTTTTCAGCCAAATTAATTAAAAATGTGCTTTCTCCACTTCTATCTGGTAACTTAAGCTTCTTTCTGCTATTTTAGCTACCTTTCAGCTGTTTTTTTGTTGTTGTTGCTAATTTCAGCTTTTTTCCATTAAAATGTCGACACTGTTGTGCTCATTTCTGCTTCTTTTAGTCTAATTGGGTAAATGTGTTCTTTCTGCTTTCTTCTGATAATTTAAGCTGGTTCTGACTTTTCAGCTACCTTTTAGCATTTTTTTAGCTAATTTCAGCCGTTTTCAGATAAATTCAAGTTTTTCATGGTAATTTCTTCTACTTTCAGCCTAATTAACCTTTTTCTATTAGTTTCAGCTGTTTCTACTCCGTTCAACCAGTATTTAGTTCATTTGATGATAATTTAATCTTTTTCAGCTAATTCCACATTTTTCAGCTCATTTCAGTTCTTTCGCTTCCTTTTGATACTTTAAGCTTATTTTTGCTTTTTCATTTATTTTTCAGCTTTTTTTTTGTTGTTGTTGCTGCTGATTTCAGCTTTTTAAGCTAATTTCCTAAATTTTGTGCTAATTTCTGCTTATTTAAATTGTATTTTGATTGATACATTGTATTTTAATGCGTAGAAATGCCCAACCAGGGACTGGAGTTGCGAACTAGCTGTAGCTATATACTCTTTGTGCAGCGCATCAGTCACGGGCTTGTTCTGTTCTATGTTTGTGTGCATTGTCCCTGTCAAATAAACTAATTAAATAAATCAAAATAAATAAACCTAATTCAGGAATTATGTGTTCATTCAGTTTTATTCTGCTAGTTTAAGCTTGTTCTTCCATTTCAGCTACATTTCAGAATGCTTTTACCTAATTTCAGCTGTTTCTCCTCAAGTTCTTCAGCAATAAGCATTCACACTGCATCTTCACAGGAAATGCAGTTTCTCTAGTTTCAGTCATGTTTATGCATTAAGCTCCGTCAGAGAACACCCTTGGGTTAAATAATCTCCACAGAATGCCTGACTCCTTATTTTAAAGTTTAACAAAAAGCTTTAAGCACACACTGAGACATGGGCAAGACTTACTTCCTTGTGTTTTCATTTTTTAGCAGGGCCTTGGCTTGCTGCTCACTAATTATAGTGGCTTTGACTTGCGGAGGGTTCATGTGGACGTTTAACTTCCCTCCTACGAGGAGGCGGACTGTGGCAGCGAACTTGGTTTGGGTTTTCAGAACTTGCGGAGGCTGTTTCTCAATAATGAACGTGCTGTGAACACAACAGAAAAAAATAGCAGAAAAAATTAGACAAAGGCAACATTGATTAGCTTAATTACCTTTAATGCAGCCACGGTTATGTAAAAAACTACATGTGATATATCCAAACGTCTAGCTTTGCTGCTCAGTGTGACCTCTGCTCCTTTTCATTTAGTTATTATGAACAAAATACAAGAAAAGCACTTTTCTAAGGGTAACACTTTGTAAAAATTTAAATTGATGTTTTTATATTTGTGTCCAGACAGCAGAACTGAAAGCTTGAATCTTGGCTTTTGCAGTAATTCATCCATTCGTTAATCTATTTTTCCACTCGTGTTTCCGTAGAGTCGAGGGCAGCTGGTGCCCGTCTCCAGATGTTTTGGGTGAGATGCGACTGGAAGGGTCGCCAGTTCATTACATGGACACAGAAGCTGACGGGACAGGCTAAACACTCGCATCTAATTAGAGTTACCAATTTTATATTTCATCCAGGAGTTTGATCAATTTAGCAAAAACATCAAGAAACAAATAAGGTTAAATGTGTAAATCTGACAGTCTGTGTGCCAACAGTCGTCTCACTATACAATATTTTGCAAATGTTTTTAATTTTTTTTACATTTTTTTACTTTGATTAATAATTTGGGGGTTTTCTAAAGAAGTTTCTTTATTTTCACTTTCAGGCTTTTTTTTTTTTTACTTATTTGACCATGAAAGGTTCAAAAAACGTTCAATACAAAAACAACTGGACTTTATTTGTAACAGAAGAGGTTGAGGAGCGAAACGTCTTCTGTTACAAATAAAGTCCAGTTGTTTCTGTATCGAACGTTTTTTGAACCCATCGTGTCCTGGATGACTGAGAATCTTCACCAGCACCATGAAAGGTTCTTCAAAGAACCAGGACTGAGGACAGCTGGAGGACAAAAATAAAAGCGTAGACCTAAAATAAAAGATCCACGGCAGATGAACGGTGACCGAAAGTCGTGCTGTTAAGAAACAAGAACAATAAAATCCAGCAACGAGTTGACACTGGGCCGGAGAGATGCATCATCCTGGAAGATGACGTCTACTTTGTGCAAAGTTTTCGGTTTATAGATCTTTGGAAATCATCTCGTTGGTACAAAAATGTGCTTCGTTTTTGTTGAACTGCGTTACGTTAGTTTTTAATTTGTCTAAAGACACAAGAACAAATGGTGTCTTTGTTCCCGAAGGTCTGATACGAATTTAAGAATTTTCTTTTTTGAGCCTGAATAATTTTTAGATTAAAGTGGTTTATCAAACAACAAAAAACAAACCGTTCTCTTGTAGCTCAGCTACTGGATTAAAACCGAGTGGAAAAAGCAAAGAAGAAACATTAAAGAACATAGAGAGCGTCGAGAACTACACATCAAAATGAGTTTAAAGATTTCCTCTGCACAGAACTGTATTTATAAGTAGAGATGCATAATGTAGGCTGATGAAAAATTTAAAGCTCGTATTAAGATGTGCAGGTTGAATTACTTCACATGTTTGAAGTGGCTGCAGTACACGAGTAGACTGCAAATATACGTCTACTTAAAATAATAAATTCAAATATGTTCACATGTTGAATATTTTCTTTCATTTTTTTAATTTACTGCCAACTCATAGAACAAATACAAAACTTTAAGCCAAAGACTGACCTACATCGATATAACTTGTAACAATGTAACACTAATATCTACAGCAGTTCCTCGCTACGTCGCAGTTTGTTTATCGTGGACTCGCTCTATTGCGGTTTTTCAAAATAAAAGTGGACATGACACACAACAGGCTGATTGATGGATGAGTCGCACGATCGGCATGGAATTTTTATTTAAAATAAGTTATTTTAAATTATTTAGCACCTGCTGCACCTTTGTGCAGCCCTTACTGCAGGATCAACTTCCTGCTGCAGCTGATCAGCTGTTCTCCGTGAAAAGCGGAGAAGTGGGCGTGGCCAAGAGCGCTTGCAGGTGGCAAAGAGCAGAGGAGGCAGGGAGCTGAAATCATGACATTCTGTCTCTTTTAGAGCGTTTACAAACATTGTTTAGAATATTGCAAGAGTGTGGGAAGGCCTTAAAACGCTTTATATATATATATATATATATATATATATATAATAAAAATAAACTACTACTTACTACTTGTTCTAATATTCCTACGTCACGGTTTTTCACTTATCGTGGGTGTGCAGGGTACGGATCCCCCGCGATTAACGAGGGACTACCATATTTCCTTTAACCATTGAGTTATAATCGTGAGGAGAATTTCATTTGTTTGCGTTAAAAAGATCCAATTTTCAGTGCACTCATTAGATTGTAGTAGAACACGATGTGGCGCTGAGTCTTTATAACTCAGGGTTAATAATAAAAACACACTACAGCTGTCTTTAGGCTCCGACTTGAGGACCGGCAGGATTAAAAGCATCAGCCTTTGAAAGTGACCTTAACTGTAAATATGCACATTAAATGAAGGTTATGTTAATGATCACTGTTCTGTAAACTAACCGGCTTAACAATTATATTCTCTTGAAATGTTCAGTTTCCATTTCTGGCATTTCCATGGTAACACAAAAAAAGGGCAAAAAAGCAAGACAACAGCACACACGGGCAATAGAGTAATACTTGAGGCTCGGAGAGCTCAGAAGCAAAAATATTCTGTTGTCATGAGCCTAAAAGGAGTCGAATATGTAGCTCGGAAATTTGATTATGTAGAAATGACTGCTAACTCTCAGAGCCAACGCTTAGGCCGATGTTAAGCCTAAAACTGACACACATTTATATTTAACAAAGGCAAATTTACAGTGTGGCACTATGTAGTGACAACAGGGTGATTCTTAAGGCTCAGAGGAAGCGTAGAAGATAAATATTCTGTTGCCATGAGCCCTAAAGGTCTCAGATCTGTGGCTGAACTAAGTGGCCATGAGAAGACACCACTTTCCATTTCTCCGTGTGAAACCTCCTGAGACTCTGAGAGAAGCTAAAGAGGACGCAGCTGAAGAAACGGTGCATCACCGTCTGGTCAAAGACTCATCTGCAGCCGGTCGTAACTTGCTGTGACAAGGACATGACGTCTCTGTGTCTTACTGGTCCCTGCAGAGACCATCTTATAAGACAGTGGGAGAGCCTGCTGTCAAAGTGCTCTTGCTCAGAAATGCTGGTAGGCTAAGACACCCTGGCAGATGTGCCTTTGGGGACGACAATAATGGACTGAAACAAGCCACATGTGCTCTTGCTCTCACAATGCATCCTCGTCGTCTCTGCAGAGCTCTTTAGGTGGGTTCCTCTTCCATCTTGCAGCTCTGAGCTGTTACGTGACAGTCAGGACTCTTTAAGACATCTCTGACAATTATAGCACAAGATTGTTTGGCTGCATTGTCACAGATGCTCCGATTCCTCCTCCAAACAAAGTGTGAGTTTATACTAGGGCTGCCAACTTTCGGAAATTGAAATGAAGAAAACTGTCGGGGCAGGAGAGAGCCACTAGCAACACTACCGTCACCATCTTGTGACTTTTGTCTAATGAGTGAGGGATTTTTTTAGATTAATAGCAGAGATAACAGATAGCTTGAGGCAGAGCAACAAAAATGTTCCTTCACATTACGACTTAATAGTCTACCCGTTTTATTCTTAATCATCTATAAATAGATTTGCGCTGACTAAAATGTACAGAACAAAGAGTGTTCCTTATAATTTTGATAAGAAACGTGTATTTTTAGATTTAATTAAGGGATAGAGAAGGTTGGAAATACAAATGCACTTACTGAAAAAGACCAAATAAACTGAGTGACCCATTTGAATTATAATTTTAACTCAACTTGGCTAAAACAACAAAACATTACTATTATTTTTATATCTAAAGGCTAACAAGTTTGTAAAGTAGTACTTTAAAAAGTACATTTAGGTTAAGAAACTTAGAAGAAAACCAAGCACACACACCTGGTGACCAGTGCTGAGATGATATCTGTGATCGTGCTGTTGAGTTCATTCAGGAGCTCTTCAATAGGTCCAGGGATGGGTAGCTGCTGTCTGAGGTGCTCCGCTCTGCGAATCTGCTGCCGGTTTTGCCAAATAGTTTCAGCCAACTTCTCACACCTATCACACAACCAAATTAATAAATAAAAACTGTTAATTTGTTTAATTGAAAGTGTGAGATGTGTTGCTTTCCAAATTAACGATTAAGCAGAAGGGATGCATATCGCCCGCTGCCTTTCACGCCAGAATATTAAGACTATAATCAGAATATTAGACTATAATCAGAATATTAGACTATAATCAGAATATTAGACTATAA